TTGTTATTATTTATTATTACTATTACTTTTTTATTTTTTATTATTTTATAATAATAATAATAATCATTATTATTTATTATGATATGTTTTTACATCTATTTAATTAATTAAAAATGGAGAAATTCCCTGCAATAACCAAAACACAACCATGTAAAATATGATGATTATAAATATTTATAATTTTTTTCTATAAAAAATGACAGTAATTGTTTTAATAATAAACATCTTGAAACAAATCAGGAAAAAAGGTATTTTGCAAAAATAATTTTTGCTTAAAATTAACTTCAAATTATTAGGACTTAAATAAAAATGTTTTTAATCTAAATGAATGCATTATTGGGGTTAACAATACAATTTTGAACATCAATTTGCTGTCTACTATAAATTTCTATAAGTTTTCCTAAATTGTAAACAATATAGAACATACAATAAGAATCAGGTCTGATTTCCAGAAGTTGTTACCATAATTTAAATTGTTTATTGTTATTGTCATATTGTTTTGTATATGCTGAATGGAAATGATATTTGTAGAATTTAACTTTGATCTACAATGAAAATAGCAAAAAATATTACATTCTCATTCGTTCTGTCAATTTATTTTGCTCTGTGTCCAGTGCCGCTCATTGTTCAGGCATAAATTGGTTGATGTTATCTCATCTAAACTTTAGTTGTTCCTTCTCTAAGACCCTTCCCCCACTTTTTTCTCACAAGAATCTTTCAAAAAAGGAGACTAGCTGGGTTTGCCTGATATCACCCTCCAGGGTGACAGCTGTGCCAAAAAGCCCTTCACTACACACACACACACACACACACACACGCGCACACACACACACACACGCACACACAAAAAGCTCATTTAGGGAGCCTCGTTCAGTGGCCTGGAAATCACACTCTAAGCTCCGCCCTAAAGTGTGGTTGGCTATTGTTATTGTAATGTGACCATGTGCTTGTGTGTGAAGAAGGCTGGAGTGGGTTTAGACCCACTACCCTCCCCATAGACAAACTCCACTTACAACTTTGGAAGTTTTTTGTCTCAGGATTTCATTCAAAGTTTTCTACTAAAGCCTAGACTTTATATATATATATATATATATATATATATATATATATATATATATATATATATATATATATATATATATATATATATATATATATAAACAGACATTATCAAAAATGGTTAATTGCAAATTGTTGCCAAAAATTTATATAAGCTGAATTGAAACAAACAAATTTAGTTGAACATTACAAAATTTGTTTGAAATTTGTTGAAATTCAGCCCATATAAAGGGTGTAAATAATTAATAAGCACTCTTTCAGACCAAAAGAAGCAAAAACAAATGCCATAAAATCGCCTATAATTAATTTTCACTAAGATAAGCAGTCTTACCCAAAAATTATTATACAATGTATAAAACATTTTGAAAAGCCAAAAAGTAGAAAAAATGCAACTTAAGTTATTGGGTATCAACATTCTTCAAAATACCTTCTTTTGTTTTAAACTCAACCCAGTTTGAAAAATATGAAGTGTGTTTTACAACTTCCAATTTTCAGGTGAACTGTCCCTTTAAACATATGAAAGCCAGGCTCCACGCGCTCATGTGTTCATTACAAATAAAGCACTGAAAGCTTTTCACACTTTCTACAGGACTGGTGTCCACCAAGTGTAAATGCCTTAATAAGCACTCACTGCCCCCCCCCTCCACACGTCCCGTGGTCCTCAGTCCTTACTCACCATGGCAACAGCAAGTTTTTTTTTTTTGGGGGGGGGGGGGGGGGGGTGTTCTCAGCATCATTATCAGCAGGCCCATCTGTCATGGGGGGTAAGACTTCAAATCACGTAAAGAGGCCTACGTGGGTTCCAGCAGTATCCCAGCACATATGCCTTCTCACTGGGCTGAGAGGGGAAAGAGTGGGGGAGAGGAGAGAGGTGCACCAGATTGAGTTTGGGAAAGAATGAGAAAGCCTGATCTGAGGGCATGAGATTTCATTGATTGATTGATTAACTGATTTATAGACTTTGTATTTATACTTTACACTATTTATAGATTATTTTACACCTTTCAAATAATGCTTAAATGTATTTTTTAAATCGAAATTAAAATTATACTTGTTTACTAATAAAATGCATTGAACTTATTAATTTAAAATGTATATATATATATATATATATATTTTTTTTTTATTATTATTTTTTTTAACATGTTGTCACCTCAGAATTATAAGGTTCTATCTGACATTTTTGTCAAAATGGAGTTATTTACATATTCTTAATAAATGACAACTTATTTACATTAGGTGATGTGTTTTTATAAGTTGTTTACATTTTAAGACTTTTTTATTTAAAAAACAAAAAGGGTTTTATATACAAAATTAAAGTTAAGCTTGGATCTATAAGGTTCTTTCTATGAGCCAATCTGTATTTTGAAAGCAAGCATGAGGACCAATCAGGATCAGCTTTCTTTGTCATTTTGCAGGACTGCTCCATTGACTTCGGGAAAGACCAGAAAGAAACCCAAAATCAGAGTCGACTAAACAAAATTGAAAAGAAACCTAAAACTGAAAAGATGTGCGTTAATGATTATTTAGAAGCAATTTTTGACAGGTTGAAAATGAAATGTAAAATTTTACATTGTTGAAAAATAAAGGGTTATTATTTTTTTTTATTTATTTAAATGGTAATAAATGTAAACTATTTTTATTTGTGTATATATTGTCAGTGAAACACTTTTTGGTGTTTATTGAACTCATTTGCTCATCGTCTGTTTTCTTTTAAAGTCTTTAAACCTGATTTTAAGGGCTAATATTTAATTTAATTCATGGGGCATATAATTCAATAAATTAATTCCCTTCAACTATTACAGTCAACTAATTCAGACATTTTGAATAATGTATAATTGTTATGATATTTTTTGAGTATTAAAAATAAAATTGCCATTGTTTACTAAGAAAATCTTTTTTTTTATTCTTTTTTTTATTTATTATTAAACCTTAAAAATGTTATTTATTAAAAATGTGCATATATTTTTTATTTGAACATTTCTTTTCTTTTGTCTTTTGCAAAGTTGGCTTGAGATTAGACGTGATCATTTTCAAATATTCACTCAAGTAGCTATCACAACATATTATATTAAAATAATATTGACACAAGCTCCAAAACCATTTTATTTAAAGGCATAATAACTGCATATTTGTGTGTTGCTTCTGTTGCTTATAAATGTTCAGAGTAAACTTATGTTTTAGATTCAGACAAATAAAATAGTAAATTAATCTGTTGTACTTTTAGATTTTATTTAATATAATTTGTTAAATGAGTTTGGGAAAGAATGCGAAAGTCTGATCTGAGGGCACGAGATTTGATTGATTGATTGTTTAGCTTAATTTATAGATTTTTGTATTTATACTTTACATTATTATACTATATCTGCACATATATATCACAAATCTAATTGAATGCATTATAAGGGTTAACAATGCATTTATTTAAACATTTATTTGCTGTTTATTTTAAAATAGTTTTCCTGAATTGTAAACAATAATGAACATATAATAAAAATCACAAGTTGTTACTATACCATGATTTAAAACAAAATGTTTTTCTACCTTCCTTAAAACAATAATTACGTAAGGTGCAATAAGCTGCTTTTTTGTAAATAAAAAGGCATAATAACTGTATTTTCGTGTCGGCCTATTGCTTTTTTGCTTAGCAAAGTTCAGAGTAAACAAGTTTTAGATTTAGAAAAACACATTTTTGAAGTACAATTGGTACACTATAGTAATTCTCATTAGCAGATGTCTGTAATTATTAACAGTGACATTTACCTACAGTTGTTATAGAAGTTATTAATGCTAGTTTTAAAAATAAAACCCGAACTCTATTAGTTATTAGCTCACTGTTATGACTTTGGATTTATTACAAATGTATTAAATGGGAGTTATTAAACCTGTAAGTAATTAACATCACCTAAAATGTTTATGATCAGTGTATTCTAATTAACTAATGTTATCAAATGGGGTCTTCTGTAAAGTGTGTAAAGTGAACAATATGCATATAAAGACTTTCATAATATCTCGGGCATGCCATAAGCCAGATTAATATTATATCATATATGTTCATTATTATAATATATTGTATTATTAAATTCTGCCACATGTCCCTAAGTGTAGGTCAGATCAATATATGAGATCCTTTATACCAGTTTCAGTGGGTTTATCTTAATTATCATTTTAATTAATCATAACTAATTTCCTGTCGAGGACAATAAAGTTTACTTGCTTATTTACTTACTTGCTTGCTTGCTTGCTTACTTACTTAATTGAAACAGTGCTATATGAAACAAATAAATAGTATTATTGAAAGTTTAGTTATGGTCTAACACAAACACATTTAAGTAAAAGTGATGAAATCTCTCATTCTCACTGTGTTAGAAATAAGACTTGCAAACTAGAAAGAATTTAGAGGGGAAGCTATTTTAAGTAAGAATATACATTTTGTATATGGATATAAGAATATAAACGTATATAAATACACACAAATATTTTGCATGTGTATTATAAATTATAAATATGAATTTGTACATATAACTGAGGATCATGATAGTGTTTAACTGTGAAAATTCTTCTGAAACACTGTTCAAACACCAGACTAATAATGGCGTCCAGTTTGACACAAAGCACAAAAAGTTGTCAGACAATAAGACATTTGTTTATTAACAACTAATCATAAAAAAATAGTTACATGTTGTGATCTCTTCATTTATTTAAATGTGTTTAAAATATGTATTCAAAGGAGAAAAGTTTTACGCAGAGATTTCATTTTTAAAGTCGTGACACATGACTCCAGCCGTACAAGACAAGCTTTTGTTTTCATTTTAGAGGTCATTGTGTGGGAACACAGACAGCGAGGCGCGCCCTGATTGGCTCGCTGAGAAGAACAAAAGCCCCTGCCGCCGCTGATTGGTGGACGCAAACTTACACGAAATAAGTCCGCCCACCCCTGTCGGCAAGTTTTCCTTAAAGTAACTTTCTCTGTGATTAAGTTTAGTAGTTTTGCGGTGTCAAAGGCGAAGGAATCACCGCAAAGATGAAGTTGTGTAAAACTTTCCTCGGTGAGTGCTGGATTTATATTTAAACAAGCTTTTGCTGTTTGGTGCGCTGTGTTTTCTGATAGCCGGTGTTTGTGGCTTAACTTTCTGTTAACAATAACTATTCACAGTACGTTTATTGTTGTGATTGAAACACTAAATTATATGTTTTGTGGTATATTTATCCGTTTCTCTTCCCTCGAGGGTTTAAAATTAACCCATACTCGGCAGGAACAACAGTTCTTTCTTTGTTTACTTTCATTTTGAGCATTAATATAATAGAAAAGACTTAAACTGCTTTGTACTCATTTTAACGTGCTCTGATACTGTAGAACACAAAATCTTGAGCCAGTTTTCAGTTTTTGTTATGATTAAAAACTTGCGAAAAGAAATCTCTGTCCACACAGTTTTGAGACAAAGGCAACTTTTGTTTCCCAGAGGGAGTTGTGCTTTAAACTCAGAGGCTCGGACTTCTGGCATATTAAAACTTTTGTATTTGGGAGGGATCAGTCCATCTGGCTATGTGGGGGGGATTCCGGGGTGTTTTGCTTCTCATTCGCTCAGCTGGCATCCTATGTAATATTTATACACGGTGTCTGGCCAGTGGGAACAGACTGTGGCTTTAATTGTATGCTGGGCTGTCCATCTGCATGAAACTTTAGGATGAGGGGTGAGCAAAGTTCCAGCTGGTAACCGCAGAACTTAGCTCTCATTAAATATGCAAAACTCTCAAAGGCTTGATCATACATGATAGGAAACTTTTTGTTGAAGTTTTGTTAAAAATTCCTTTGTTCTTCTATTACAGGGAAAAAACTTTTTTTTTAAGTTACTTATCTTTCTCTTACATCACGTAAGATATGATAAACTGCCATAACGTTAATAGTTTTTATATAGAATGATATTATTTAACAGTTAAAATATTAAATAATCCACGGATTGCTACACTGTAAAATACTAAATTATATTACTTTATATGTGTTTTCAGAGTTTCATTTTCTGCAGTGTGCATTTATGCTATGGTATACTGATGAATAAAGTGTTTTGCAATAGATGCAGCATTTGCATGTATTCATTTAGGAGACGCTTTTATCCAAAGTGACGTTTTTTTTAACTTCATAATAAGTCAGCAATTAAACTTGAATATTTGCTTTATTTTGACATTTTACAGTAGCCTGTGGCAGCCGCTGTACAAATCATAATTCAACCGTTTACTCAGATTAAGTTAATTCAATCATATTCCACAAAACTAGGTCATGTTCTGAGCCTTCTGGAAAAAAAACACATAAAAGAAAAGTAGTTCAACGCTTTTAAAGCAAGGCACGTGTCATTACGCGAGAAAAAATAGTTCCATATTAAAGACGTGCCTTTATAAATAACTCTTTAACTGCCCCAGCAATATTTTTGTGGATTAATGTCGCTAGTTAACAAACTCAATGCTTTTTTATTTCCAACACATCCCATAATTTCTAAAACATCAACCTCTTACCATAAACGGACATAGCTTCCATTTGGTAGAGTACTAGAATTAATACACTGTAAAAAATGCAGGGTTCCATTCACGTTGATCCAACACAAATCGATTAAGTTAACACTTTTAACAAATTTATGTGGATTGTACATAAAAATATTAAGTTGTCCCAATGATATCTCAAACGTTGTGATGTTTCAGCTCATTTTAATAAAGTAGTTTGAACAAGCAAAAAATATTTTTTGAGTGTTTAAATTCTGACAAATCTGACAAAATATGTCAAAAAACTCTAAATGATCTTTATTTTTTTGAATTATGTTATAAAATATTTTATATTCTCATTTAACATGTATTCTAGTTGTTGTTGTTTTTTTTTACATCAAAACCAAAATAAGTAGTGCAACAGGATTATATTTGTAAACCAACAATGCTGTGTAATGTAAACCATTACTTAAAATTGTCATTATTTAAATGACTAAATATTCATTACAGTCAAAATATGGTCAAAAATTTGGTAGAGCAGGCAGTTAAAGAAATAATTCTGTCAAGTGAAAGGTGTTAATATGCTACTGGATATGACAATCGGACAATAGGCGCATACACATAAAACCAAAAGCTTGTTTTGACATTTAAATTATTTTATACATGTGTTACGTAACTTATTTTATAGTAACCCCAGCGTATTCATCGTTATACTGCCGAATATTTATTGACAACAGAGCTAAGCACCTGCCACGAACAGAGCTCTTGTCCATGGTACTGAAACAGCGCTGTTCTGGGTGCTGAACTTTGCTGCATTTAAATGTGCCGTTTTATTTCAAATACAACTAAATAAATGACTCCGGATTGTACATTAAACGTCAAACGACTTTCCTCCTGCGTGTGAGTGTTTTATATGGAGTGGGTGGGGGTCAACAGCAGCCCACTCTCCATCTTGTGGTGTACATGATTTACTATGATGATGATGTCACGGCGCAGGGTAGAGGAGGGGTGGACAATGGGCCTGTGAACGAAAGGTAAGTCAGTATCGTTCGACAAAGCGTGTGGAGAAAGGATTTTGGCAGCGTTTATGTTCACGTTACCTGTCGATTGATGGATATATGCGTCTCGCTAGCAAGATGAAGCTGTTTCGGACCGGTCCCGAGCGAATATTTCACGGGTTTTAACGGTAGCGGCACGAGACTCATTCTGAAGGGGAGGTGTACAACACTGAAGTTAACACACACAGCCTACAAAGAGCAAGAGGCCGCTCGCATCTCCTTGAGGAAACGTCGTTTGCTTATGGTATTTTTGGTTTATTCGTTCAGATCTTGGCGTAGATGAAGAATTGGTGTTTGGAAAGGTTTGGATTTCCGTTACTATTGAAGCCAAATGGACGCCGGACTTGTGTAATCTCTTAAAGAAGAAGTGCCATTGCATCGTGTTTACATTTTCTAGCATATTTTGCTACCGTATTGTTATGTTGTGTAGAAGTATGATTTTAAAGCGTGTTTGTGAATGGCTACATCAACATTTACGTTCCGGGTTTATTTCCAAGAAACCCAAGAACTTAATAGGGCCTCTATCGGATCTGTAACAAAATATCAATGCTCGCATAGCCTTTCAATTTCAATGTCTTGCTTGTTTTAAAACACTATTTATAGACATGTCGGAAACTTCTAGGTTTAAAAACCAAGGGGAATATTCAACTGTAGCCTACGTTTTTGCATTCATACTAATCCTGGCATACGTTTGTACAGTACTATATTGCATGTAAGAGTGCATAAATTGTAATTAGAAACCCTTAAGCAACGCACAAGCAGCATATGTTTCGTCTTGTGTGCGTGCGTTATTTACGTGTAACAAAACAATGCTAGCGAACCATCTGTTTACTTGAGGCTAGGCCTACATAATGCACTATTCAGCTATTAGATTAAAGCCTTTTCTTTCAGTTTTATATTTAAATTGCAGTTTATTCATCGCTTGCACTTGTTTTTGGACCTCGGTGTGCTGGGCTTTAAACGGTGTTTGTTTTGACGATAATACAGTGAAGTTTATAAGCATGTTCCGCTGTATTTTGTTTCTCCTCGGTGAAAGTGACAGTGTTTTGAAGGAGGAGGGTTTGGCTGATAGTAATTGAAAGGCGTGGTGTGCGAGAAGAGGTTATGCGCAGCATCATCATGGTGCTTTTTGATGGCACGAGCGTCATAAGACAAAAGAAAAACTATTATTAGTCTGTATTAAAACTACACGCAATTTGTGGCTAGCATGCTTATTTATGGGAGTTAAAAAATGTTCTCTGTGTTTTGAGAGACTGGGCCTAATGTATGAGGGAGAAAAATAAAGTTATTGATCCTTGACAGTACTCAGGTGAAAAATCTGACATTGGTTTATTCTTTAATATAGGAATAACATGTCAGCGGGTTGAGAAAAGTCACATATTTTTAGCTTTTAATAACTGTTTTCTTTCGGCAAGAAACTTTTTATATAATATTTGAAAACTACTTTCTCCTAATGTGTTAAAACATGATTAATTCATTCAGATTTTTACATATTCAAAAAGATTTCTACACATTTTTGTTTATATAGATAATTATCTAATATTCTATATTCTCTCTCTGCATATATCCTATATTCTCTTACTATTCTCGATATAAAGTAATTCTCTTATATTTAAAATCAATTGAACTTGTTTCCCTGTGAACAGTCATGGGACACTGAGTTCTAAGAGGTTTTTATTGCATATTGCATCATATGTGGCAAGTGCCCCAATTGTTGCGGTTCTCCAGGGAATTCCCTCCCCTGTTACGTGTGAGAAGAGGCTGAGCACCAGGTGCTGCTGAAAACGTAATCAGACCACATGTAATGACGCCCTGATCAAAACAGCTGGGTCACGGTCGGATCTCTCGTCCACTAAAATGAATAATCAACACCAGAGCCATGATGGCACGCAGACTCTGACAGCCCATGATATACTGCTGAAAGCCCATTCAGTGACCGAAGTGCATGTGTCCTCTGGGGCCTATTTAATGTTTGCTTATGGATTAGGGGTGTTCATCTTTGATAGTCATCCCATGAAAAATTATGTAGCGTGTGAATCGGCATTACTGCCAATGATTTGCTTACTTTGTAGTGGTGCGCAGTACTCCGTTGTTTCCCCAGCATCAAGATGTGTTGTAGTTATATTGGCAATTTAAAACTAGTATTCAATTCAAATTTATTTGTGTAGTAATTTCTTAATATGTTTTGTTTGAAAGCAGCTCTACAAAAGATGCACATTATTGCCTTACAATCAAATTCAGAAAAGTTAAGGTTATCAGTTACTATAACTGTATTAGTTACTTATAACTAGGGCCAGACAGAATCTGCAGACATTTTTTGCTATTTCTGCAGAGGATTGTAAAAGTATCATAACTGTATACTTAATATATGAAATAAAAAATGTTTTTTTTTTTAGCATTTATTTAAAGTTTACAATGCAAATGCAATTAGATCCACCTATTTGTTAAACAAAACAAGTCTTTCATATAATATATCTACTAAAAGACAGAAAATATTACTTTACAAACTGTATTGTAAATAAATTATATGAACATTTATATATATTTCACAATAATATAAGTGAAAATGAATGTAAGTATAAATTTACACACATTTACACAAGTAAATACATGGACTCAATGATGGGCCAGAAATCTGCTAATTTCTGGTTTTAATTAAAAATAATGATGGGCCTAATTATAACTTTAATTAACTAGTAACTAATAGTTAGAGTTACAGTTAGCGTCAAATGCTTTTAAAATAAAATGTATATAATAACTAGAATTGTAATTTCCCATGCAAACATTGATTTAATGTTGTTTTTATCATTGTAATGTATGTATATATATATATATATATATATATATATATATATATATTTTTTTTTTTTTTTTTTTTTTTTAAGTATGTACATTTATATTTTGGACCTAAATTGCTATTGTATTCTTTCTATCCAACAGAAAATGAGTTCAGAGGGCAGCTGCTGAGCCAGAGGTGGACACGAGGGGACAGAGTCAGCAGCTGTGAGAGCAAGAGGAGTAGGAGACAAAAAGTGAGACATTATGTGTGTCTGTGTGTGTCTCAGAGAAGTTTCATTCCCATTGATTATCTTATACTCTTACCACAAAACCAAACAGACTAAATGTACATTTCTCTTTCTGAATCTCTGACATCTTTCTCTGGGAGGGCCCTGTTTCTTTCTTATATTTCACTTTTCGACCACTATGGATTCGGAGTGATGTGCATTTGAAAGGAGTTAGTGGATGTGTATTATTGATTGAACTCTTTAAAAGCATTTAAGAGGATTGGGGGTACTCTGGTGTCTGTGAAATTAGACCTGCTCCCATCTTAGGAAAGGGTTTGAAAGGGATAGATCAGTTAAGAAGGCAGAGAACAGTTAAATTATAATTTTTACATCATTAGATTAGAGAAACTGTAAGAGTGCAAGTTAAGACATAATAAATAAATTCTTTACAAGTAAATACATCTGCGCATTTGTTTTCAAGATGAGCCAAGACGCAGATGATAAGCGGACAAGGACACGCTCAAAAGGAATCAGAGGTTAGAGCCTCTTAAAAAACATGTGAATATATTTTTATGGCCAATTTGAATGAATTTAAAGACACTGACAGCACTTTTATTTCTCTCCTAATCTCAGTTCCTCTTGAGCTTGTCGGACAAGAATACAGGTGAGATAAGCTTTCATTCTTCTGTAGTTTTTATGCATTACGTTTAGAAAAGCCTAGATTTGTAATATAATGAATACAGCTAATTGAATCCTTTGTTTTGCAGCTGCCCTACTCCGGGATGCGATGGTTTAGGCCATGTCAGTGGAAAGTATGCACGACATAGAAGGTTAGTTGTCACAATTATGTCACTCATATCTGTCAATGTAAAAACAAAATCTAAAATATTTTTACTAAAGCTTGTCATTCTTTCCAGTGCACTGGGCTGCCCGTTGGCCAAGAAAAGAAAACTCCAGGAAGCTGAAGAGAATCTGCCAGCCCCTAAAAAAAAGCCTAATCTCCTAAAGCTGGCCATGGATGATGGGTTCAATGCAGATAGTGACACAAACAGTGAAACCGAAACAAAAGATGAGGGAGTGGAGTCTGAAGAAGACACTGCTGATAAGGTGATGGAGGTGAAGGAAAAGTCACCTGCATCAGAAGCAATGACAGGTGGGTTAATCACATATTAGCTACATAACGTGTAATTGTTTTAAAAGTTACGCTACATTAGGTGCATATACAATACTCTGTTATAGTCTTTATAGACTAACAGTTTCCCTCAAATTTGTCAAGCATTAATAGAGTTCTTTTTGTTTATGATTATATTATCCATTGAAATTCTAAACTATTAAAGGGACAGTTCACCCAAAAATGAAAAATTTAATCACCCTCAATTGGTTCCAAACCTTTTTAAGTTTTGTTTTTCTGTTGAACTGAAAAAAGATATTTAGAAGAATGTTAGAGACCAGTATTCACTGACACGTTTCCCCACCAATATCCACCAACTGTTGAAATGTCCCCACCGATAATTTAATTCACTTAAAATTTAAAAAATAAAAATAAAAATCGTGCTTTCAATAATAACCTAGACATGCAGAGTGTTAAATCACGCTCGCTCCTCAAGTCGCACCGTCCCCAAGCACACATGAACATTGTGACTGGCTGATCCTTTCCCTGCTGTCATGTGAGAGACTGTAGTTGAGTTCAGATGTAGCAGTGCCAAAACTGCTCCGGGGAATTTCCAGTGCAAGAATAAGATGTTGGAGGATGCTACTGCTACACACAAGTTCTCTTTTTGAGAAAAAAAAGAAAAGGTGGACATAAGGAGCTTTTTTTCAATTAAAAGTTTGTCACATAAACTCAAGATCGCTACTGAATGAGTCAATCACGATAATGTCGTTAATGCTCTTGTTTTTCCCTACTTTAATGCACAGTCTAACGTTATAGCAGACTGATCTAGTCTGTGAATAATATGCCCTGAAAACTAACTGTAGAATAAACAGCTTCGTGTAAAACTATATGACCCATGCCAGTTCTCCTAATCTCTCAGAATAGCATGTCCAATTTTGGTTGAAACAATTTGTCAGAAAAAAAATACAGCTTGTGCTCCATATTGTATTATTATATACTGATATATGAGACATGTTTATGGCTAAAATAAACGGAGGTCTTTATTAAACTCTCTCTTTATCAGTTAATAAACATTATTTTAGCATTACAAAATCAGGCCTGTAGCCAGCTTATTGAAAGGGATATATTTTATGTTTTGAAAAATGTAACCTTTTTTTGTAGTTATTCACCTCATTTGCTATTTAATTATGAGGTATGAATATTGGATTTTAGTGACATTTTAAAAACTATTTTTTTAGCTGGATTAGCTTGTCAAATGGTAATCATAATCACACTCTTTGATATACTAAAAAATAATTCCTACCATTTTTCAAATTGCTTTCTATTCTGTATTACTATTTTAAGTGTTTATTTACAAAAGTACATTTAAACTATAAGTTTTATATTAACGCTTTATAAATAATAAACATTTTGAATAATTTTTTTAAAAAGATACTTATTTTTAAAATACAAATATATTATAATCTGTCATTACTTTTTTAGTATATCAAAGAGTGTGATTCCGAAATCTGTTTTAACTTATTTTAAATTAAAACTAAAGCCTATTGTCATAACAAACTGGCCAGCACATTCAACTTCCCTCAGTCAGAATTTGGCCATTTGAATAAAAAGATAAATTCAAACATAATAATAATCATAATCCAACTTTTGGTCTTTCAAACAACCTGAACCCCCTTGGCTATTGGCCTTAATTTAACCTTAATTTTAATTAATAAATTGTATAAATAAAGGATTATTTAATAATGTATTTTAATAGCAGTTAAATAATTAACAACAACATACATATATAAATATTTAGGCAAGTTATTTTATAACGATGGTTTGTTCTGTAGACTATTGAAAAAAATATATAGCTTAAAGGAGATAATAATTTTGACCTTTAAAATGGTTTTTAAAAAAAAATTTAAAACTGATTTTATTCCAGCCAAAATAAAACAAATTAAAAAAAAGAAAAAAATTCAAAGGGGGGCTAATAATTCTGACTTTTAATGGGTGTGTATGACTCACCGGTCCCTACCAATGTCCAGTGCAAACCTACGCCCTTGGATAACAGAATTTCCAGTTTTGGGTGAACTATACCTTTAAGTACAGATATTATAAATATTTTTAGGTTTATATAATATGCACATAAAAACCTTTACTATAGTGTTGTTTATGTATGTAAACTCACTAGTTAAACATTTTTCAACAAGCAACATGGAAATTGCTTTTGTTTACGATTGTCTTCTTTTGTTTTTTTCTTAGAAGAAAGTTCACAAGTGAACTTAGAAGAGAAAGAGACACCAATCAGACAAACAAGTCCAGTGCCAGAGATTGAAATTGAAAAGGAGGAGGCCAATATTGAGAGCACGCCCATCCAGCAAATCACCATGGATACCGAGGCAGAGGAGGAGCTACAGGTTGCTGAAGAGATTCAGGCAAGAGAGGAAGAGGTTGAGGAGGAAGCAGAAGAGATTACAGAAGAGGAGCGAGTGACCCAGCAGCTGAAAGAGACCGACGAGCCTGTGACAACAGTTGAGGAAGAAGAGGAGGACGATGAGGAAGATGAAGAGGGGGAGGAGGAAACACAATGTTTGAGCCAGAAGAACAACTCGGACCACCAGTACTTCAGCGGTGACTTTGGCAAAATGCAGACCAAAGAGACTGGGGAGCTGGAGAGGGACAGTGAAGATGAGGATGAGGAAGGAGATGAGGAGGAGGAGGAAGAACAATCCCAAGTAGAGCCTTCCTCCCTAATGGCCCCCGTACCCACTGTTTCAGCTCAGGAATTAGATGTGATGACACATGGCAACATAAATCTAGACCATCATCTTGGCGAAGATGAGGAGGAGGAGGAGGATGAAGATGAGAGAGACGATGCTTCAGATAAAGACTCGCCCACTGTAGTCATCGAGCTCGGTTCAGATGGAGAGGAAGAGGAAGAAGAGGAAGAGGAGGATGACGGAGAGGAGGAGGAGGAGGAGATTGATGAAGCAGATGATGATGATTTAGACAGCATGTCACAGAGGTCAGAGGTCACTGATGACTCGGAGACATACGACATGACACGAGGGAACCTGGGACTCCTGGAACAGGCCATTGCACTTAAAGCTGAACAAACCGGCCACAGTTCTGAAGAGAGCTACTCTCCTGAGCAGCAGCCCTACCACAGCTTAGACGACAGGACGAGTAAGGTCATGGACATCGCCGCTCGGAGAGCATACTATGGCAAAGGTGACAGGAAATGCTCATTTTAGCATTTTACCTTTAATTGAGACCAAACCTAGTAAAATATAGTGCATTAGTGTGTTGAGTTAAATTTGCTTTGTTTCCTCACCCTTGGACACAGACGGTTCTAGATTAGAGAAGAAGGAAGTAAAGTGCCCTACTCCAGGATGTGATGGCACAGGTCATGTGACTGGACTATATCCACACCACCGCAGCCTTTCTGGGTGCCCACACAAGGACAGAATCCCTCCAGAGAGTAAGCATGCTTCTGTAACAGCACTATGATCTTATACCTTTAAGATGCGTTAAAATGAAATACAATTATGTAGAAACTGTATATAAAATGTAATATACAGTTGAATTATTAGACCCTCTGTTTATATTTTTCTCCAAATTCTGGTTACCATAGAGCAGATTTTTTCAACACATTTCTAAACATAATTGTTTTAGTAACTCATTTCTAATAACTGATTTATTTGATCTTTGTCATGATGACAGTAAATAATATTTTACTAGATATTTTTTAAGACAAGTGAATTTAAATGCTTAACTAGGTTAATTAGGTTAACTAGGCAAGTTAGAGTAATAAGGCAAATAATGGTTTATTCTGTAGACTATAAAAATAAGGCTTAAAGAGGCTAATAATTTTGACCTCAAAATGGCAATTTAAAAAAATTAAAACTGCTTTTATTCAAGACGAAATAAAACAAATGAGACTTGCTCCAGAAAATAAAATATTATCAGACACACTGTGAAAATTTCCTTGGTCTGTTAAACATCGTTTGGAAAATATTTAAAAAAGAAAAAAAAATCTAAATAATTCTGACTTCAGCTGTATGTTATATTACAGTTTATATACATAAATAATAGATTTATATTAGTAGTTGTAGAGACATAAATTTCAATACATAAATGAGTAAAATTTTTAAAAGAAGTGGCTTACACCAAGGGTGCAAATACTTTTTAAAAAATGTTACATATATATTTATTTTGAATAATATGAAATATTGCTACAATTTAAAATAACTTTCCTTTGCTTCAGTGTCACACAATCCTTAAATCATTGTATGCTAATTTGGTGCTCAAGAAACATTTATTTTTATTATCAATGTTGAAAAGAATTTTGTTGGTTAATATCTATTTTTCTACTAGTCTTGGCAATGCATGAGAACGTACTGAAGTGTCCCACACCTGGATGCACTGGGCAGGGACACGTGAACAGCAACCGCAATACACATCGCAGGTACTGCTCCTTAATGATTTTAACAAGCTTCCTATTCTGTTTTCAGTTTCACCAACATTAGAGGTCATTTAAGGGTTACAATTGAAAGTATAATTTTAAAAATCAAAAGATTGCTTTACTTCTCTGGTAAAATTTAAAAGAAAAATAACATACTGACACTTCTCCCTAAAACCATGTGATTTTCTTACATTTGACACTTTTAGCCTCTCTGGATGTCCTATTGCTGCTGCAGGGAAACACAAAAGCCATGACAAGCAGTCTCAGCCGCAGACCTCTGTCATTGATCCTGCCTCTGTAGGCTCAAACTCTGACAGAGTTCTCAGGTGAGTGTTTTCAATATCCTAGCTAGATCCCTGTCTGTTACACAGACAAAAAAGCTTGATGAGTAAACACTTTTTTTTTTGTACAGGCCAATGTGTTTTGTAAAGCAGCTGGAGATCCCTCAGTATGGTAGCTACAGGACAAATGCCATGCCGGCTACTCCTCGTGCCAACCTGGCCAAGGAGCTGGAGAAGTATTCCAAGGTGTCCTTTGACTATGCAAGCTTTGATGTACAGGTGTTTGGCAAGCGCATGCTTGCACCTAAGATGCCCACCAGCGAAACCTCACCTAAAGCCTTCAAATGTAATAAACCTCTCATTTCTTTCTGTTTAAATGAATAAATAAGATACACAAGCAAGAGTTTATTAATAGCACACTGAAACCCATATTATCATAATTAACAGCAATATTAATTCCTAAAGCCCCATCCCCAAGCCACAGCCTGTCTGGAGGCTACACCAAAAGCAGCTCCTCTTCCACCTCAAGTGGGTACGACTACACCCATGATGCCGAAGCCGCACACATGGCTGCCACTGCCATCCTCAACCTGTCCACCCGCTGCTGGGAGAGACCCGAAAACCTCAGCACCAGACCACCAGATCAGGCCGGCAAAGTGCGTTCGTCTTACTGTATCTGCACCTGTCATTCAGTCTAGAGGATATTTAAAGTGTCATAGCATCAATATTACCCACACCACATAAAAATAATTGATTTATTTTGCAATCTAGGACATGGACATTGAGGTGGATGAAAACGGTACACTGGACCTCAGCATGAAAAAACCCAAAAGGGAAGGAGTCAGGTCACCAGATCCATCCTCCTCCTCGTCATCGTCTTCTCAACACCATGGCGTCACCTCGCCTCACTCCAGCCACACCTACAAGCAAGAGGAGTGGGAGGGGCCTCTGGACTACACCAAGTCAAACCGACAGAAAGAGGAGGAGCCAGAGGAGGTACGTCTATTGGCTTGATGAAGATATTTTTACACATACTTGAGAGTCTGAAAACACTTTGGATATAAAAAAAAAAAAAAAAACACGTTATGCTATTGTCCTCAGGTGGAGTACACCACACACTCATACGCCTCCTCTGATGGAGAAGATGATGATGGCACTCAGGAGGGAGCAGAGGACAGGACGTACCCCGGTGAGGTCACAACCTCCAGCTATAAGGTCAAATTTCAGCCCAAGGACCTCAAAAAAGAGATCTTGCTGTGAGTGTCTGCAAAAGCATCCTTATTTAAACACAAAACACATGTGCAAAGCCAATGTCTGTAGTGCCTTACGTTAGTAAACCTCCTAACCAGAATGATTCCACAGAGATTAACTGCTCTCTTCATGTCTTTTCAGATGTCCCACCCCAGGTTGTGATGGCAGTGGGCATATAACTGGGAACTATGCATCTCACCGAAGGTATGCCATAAACGGTGACACAGTGTTTCTAGTCTAGTCTCACATTTTTTCATTTTTCTTCATCTGTTTTCTTCTTTGCTCAACCCTCCTAACAGCATAAACACAATATTACAACAAACAAACGCTTTTTTTTTTTACTGCACTTAGCATTAATTAAATTAATAATTTGATTAATTTAATATAAGTACTAGTTTTTCCATTTTAGCTGTACAAGATAACAGACTTACTCTCATAAACTAATTCTTTGTATTTTAGCAGCAAATACGGCTGAAGTCAGAAATATTAGCCCCCTTTAAATCTTTTTTTCTTTTTTTAAATATTTCCCAAATGATGTTTAACAGGACAAGGAAATTTTCACAGTATGTCTGATATTTTTTTCTTCTTGATAAAGTCTTATTTGTTTTAATTCTGCTAGAATAAAAGCAGTTTTAATTTTTTTTAAAACCATTTTAAGGTCAAAATTATAAGCTATATTTTATTTTGATAGTCTACAGAACAAACCATCGTCATACAATAACTTGCCCAATAACCCTAACCTGCCTAGTTAACCTAATTAACCTAGTTAAGCCTTTAAATGTCACTTTAAGCTTTAATCCGGGTATATACAGGAACCAGAGAATAAAATTCAATATTTTAAAGACCTTTTTAAGACTCTTTCCATACATTTGAAGACCTCATCGCCACTTTAGGTCAAAACAATTAACATTGGCGACATTTTATATATATTTACTAAATACTGATTGTAAGAAATTATTCCTAAAAAAAACATTATTCATATAGTTTATAAAAATGTTAATCCAGAAGATGTCGTCTATAGAACAGCAGAAATAATGGTGCTGCCTTGGTTACTGCAGTAAACAAAGCTGTGTGACACCAAATATAGCAGGATTATATCGATTTCATAAACTACACAGTATCCTAAAATTTCAAACTTCAGTATACAACTGTAAATACTGTATAATCTATTTACTGTATAATCTATAAAACCTTTTAAGGCTTTTTAAGGGCCTTAAATTTCCATAAATTGATTTATCAACTTTTAATACTTTTTAAGACCCCGCGGACACCCTTTTTTTTTTTGATAGTCTACAGAACAAACATACAACAACTTGCCTAATTACCCTAGCCTGCATAGTTAACCTAATAAACCTAGTTAAGCCTTTAAATGTCACTTTAAGCAGTATAGAAGTGTCTTGAAAAATATCTAGTCAAATATTTTTTACTGTCATCATGGCAAAGATAAAAGAAATCAGTTATTAGAAATGAGTTATTAAAACGATTATGTTTATAAATGTGTTTAAAAAAATTCTCTCCGTTAAACAGAAATTGGGGGGAAAATAAACAGGGGGGCTAATAATTCAGGGGGTTTAATCATTTTGACTTAAAACTGTATATTGCTAAAATACAGAGTTTGCATTATACTACACAATACATATAACTCTTCCATCTTCAATTAAACCTACTTCCTTCTATTCTTTCCTCCTGGTGTTTTTCTACTGCTCTTCAGTCTCTCTGGTTGTCCCCTTGCTGATAAAAGTCTTCGGACCCTCATGGCTGCCCACACTGCTGAACTCAAGTATGTCTGTGCTCTGATTTTTCCTCTAATGAATGACCTCTACTGATTACTACTTGCACTTTGCTGAACACTGCTGTTCCTGTAATACACTGTTTACTGTCTCTTTTGCTGGCTGTTCTTGCACTAAATGAACCAGAAATCACTTTACATTTACACTGGTCAAAGATTTTGCTGGACTGTGTATTGAAGATGCAGCAAACCAAATTAAACATATATTAAGTATCCAGACTGAAACCCAAATATTAATTTAAAGATATAATATAAACGAATGGGTGATATTTAAATTATATTTCTCTGAAGGTGTACTGTTTGTAGCAATGCTAACCTGTCTTTCTCTCTTTTTTTGTGAATTCCAGATGCCCTACCCCAGGTTGTGATGGATCAGGACACATCACTGGAAACTATGCTTCCCATAGAAGGTTTGTTAGTCATCATTTTACATTCACTCCTCCAAAGTTCCAAAAATATCAAACTGTGCATATTGAAACACAGTAACATTTACATGTTATCTTTTGCAGTCTGTCTGGATGTCCACGTGCCAAGAAGGGAGGAATCAAAACCACCCCGACAAAGGATGACAAGGAAGACTCTGAGCTCATAAAGTACGTTTTTAATAAACCTACTATGCTGCACAAAGCCAGCGGATTTACTAAACACAGCCTGCGTCTTTAGAGAATGCCAAAACTGACTGCCAGCTCATCACTTACCTCTCTATAGGTGCCCGGTGCCAGGTTGTGACAGTCTGGGGCATATCAGTGGGAAATACGCCACCCACCGCAGTGCCTATGGGTGCCCGCTGGCAGCACGCCGGCAGAAAGAGGGCATGTTAAATGGCACACCATTCTCCTGGAAGGCCTTCAAGACTGAGGGCCCGACCTGCCCCACGCCGGGATGTGATGGATCAGGACATGCCAATGGCAGCTTCCTCACTCATCGCAGGTACAGATGGAGCCTAGTGAAATTTGCAGATATATATTAGGGTTCTGTATTGAAAACAGAGAAAGGAGGAACATATTCAACGCAAGGATGATAACTATAATGATGCACTAATTATAGAGCTAAACATTGTTCAAAATGTCTAAAATTTAAAAACAGATCAAAGTTTTTTCAAGTCATTGACAACTAATCATCCTGGTATAAATAGTTTGATTTAAAGCAGCATCAGACAACATTTACATCTTGTGCTTAAAAGCAGAATGTTTTTTTGAGCATTTGTGTGAGCTAGGAACATATGGACGCCCAAATAAACCAAATAAACGACAATATATGTATGTATCTTTAGGGAAAGTACTACTATTTATATAATTATTATTTTTTTTAAATGTTGTGAGCACTCACCTAATATACTGTAATGTTTGTTTCACTCATACTGAACGCTAGAGGGCACCTTGCACGTAAATTCTACTTCTGCATTACAGAAATAAAGGCACTGGCTGTATTAGAAATCACCCATATACGTGCATTTAATATTTCCTTACATTAGTCCACTAATATAGCCAACTTAAGGGAGTGAATAAAACCAATGAGTGCACCGGAAAGGATGCCAATTTGATTTCCATCATGAATACAAACGTTAATTTGACAATTAAATTATTTTGAGACTGAAAGGATTCTGCTGTGGATGCCATTTTGTTGTCATTCTAGCTCAGAGGTGCCCAAAGTTGGCCCATGGTAACCTTTGGTTTGGCCCTTTGGTTTTTCATCCCATCTGAAAAAAAGAGGGAGAATGATGGGGAGTTGTTTGGGGCAACTGTCTTTCAAAGAGATTGTTATTTTGAATCTAGCCTAACCTTTTGCTTCTTTTATAAATTGATAAGCTACAAAAAAGCCAATTAAAATTAAACGTTTAATTTAAATGTTGGAAATGAATCAGACTTTTAAAATGTAAATACTGTCACTCGACAGAAAACAATGCGCAAAGCATCAGCAAGCAAATCAAGGCAAAGGCAGGAGCAGCTCAACTAGTGTTTTCAGCATTGAGCCACATTGTGTTATAAATGGGATTGTTTATGTTTTAATTATAGTAAGTTCATTATTAAATGGTTAAAACGATACTTCATCCTTAATTAACCTGTTTTAAAGCAACATTTTCTAGTTATTTTTAAATATTAGCAAATAAATTAGGAAATTATCCATGGCAAATTTAATGTAATAAGGTTTGGTATATTTAACTTTGGCCCACAGCCTCAATCAAATTTGGTTTTTGGCCCTTTACAAGTACAAGTTTGGGCACCCCTGTTCTAGCTGTTGAGTGTACATCGTTTATACTCGTAATTGCGGTGCACTGTGGGACTGATAGAGCGCACTTTGCTGCTCCCTCAAAGTTCACTATTTAAGGATATAGGAGGTGATTTTGGACACACAAGATAAAGAAAGCTAGAAACTGATTACATGAAAGCATAATAAACCATATTTTGTTTATTTGTATTCTTCAAGCCATCCTGGGTGTTTTTATAAGAATGAAGTATATTGATAACGCTATGCTAATTGACTCAACATTTAAAACTCTATATACAATATTATAATAATAGTATGATTACTTCCTAATTCTATGACATAAAACTAAGTCTGGTCCAAAAAAGAAGTTATTTCAAACACTTGACTGATGTTATAAAGTAAATTCAGAGTCGCAAAACAAGTACTGCTGTTGTGCCTATATTCATTGCACAGACCGATTTACGGTTTTATTGTTATTATCACACGAAGGCTATTTCTTATCATCTGGATAATTTTTATTAGCATATTGCAAATGATAAGATATATTGCTTATCTTTAATTTGAGTGTTAATATAGCTATCATTTCCTTTATCGTTGTACAGAAGTTATCACTCTTAGACTAATATATATGTGAGCGAATTAAACTATGCGATCATTTTCGTGAGCAAACTTTATATATTTTTTTGATAGAATTTTGACTGAAGCTATTTTCCTTAGAAATGTCATACTGAGATGTTTTGAAATATTAGAAATGTCTATTTTTGACTTGCTGGGGTTATTGGGGGCTGATGTAAGTCTTGTTTCATATCTCATAATCATGGTGTGTTTCCACAGCCTGTCAGGTTGCCCTAGAGCTTCAGCTAACAAGAAGAGAGCCAGGTTCCCAGGAGATGACTACATCAGCAAGAAATTCAGGGCAAGTGATGGTAAGATCAAATATCATCTGCTTCTCTTATTGTGTCCAATTATGTTTATTTTGCACTTTTGATTAACTTATGCAGTTTTTTTATCCATTCAGTGCTAGACAATGATGAAGATATTAAACAGCTAAACAAAGAGATCAATGAACTGAATGAGTCGAACTCTGAGATGGAAGCAGACATGGCCAACCTCCACACACAGGTCTGCTTTCATCAAATACATATATGCTCTGCTATACAAAGGTTTGGGATCGGTGGGGTTTTGAAAATGTTTTAAAAGACAACGTTTAGCCTATCTGCATTTAATTAAAAAATACAGTAAAAATGGTATTGTTTGTACAGACATTTGAGCCCATTAATGAGTCTAATTATTCACTGATGTAAATGTGTGTAAATATATATTTATTCAGTTTCCATATTAATTTCAGTAGATTAATAGTACAGTAGTAGGGCTGCACGATTACTAAAAAAAAAGATTGTGATCTTGATTACAAGCATTTAATGTTTATTTCTTTAATAGCGAACACAAAGTATTAATAAAAATAATTATTTTACAATGTCACTACAACTACTCTGGCATATACAATGTTGAATATAATGCAGAAGGGAATCTGATAATGACAAATGTATCATTGTACCAGTGGGAAAAATGGTCTAATAATGTTGTCAATAACAATAATTAAACTTCAGAATTATGAATAGTTGTATTCTGATGTCATCACTTTACTTTGAATTAACAAACAGGACATATTTAAAGTCTGTTCGAAGTCCACCATTCCAAGTCTATACAAAATTTTGCATTTTAACCAACAGCAGACCTACACATAGGCCTAATATTATTAGTGTTTTTATTATATGTTTAAGAAATAAAAATAATAATCCCATACTCATATTAACCTTTATTTAATATCTACCGAACTGTGGGAAAATTGTGATCTTTGATTTTATTGATCACAGAAAAATTGTGATTCTCATTTTAGCCAAAATCATGCAGCCCCATTGTAATCTTTAAATGGTCACTCTTTACTAGAAGGTTCTATTAGATTATGTTTGTTGAAGTATTTACTAACATGAACAAACAATAAATCATACATTTATTGCTGTATTCATATTTGTTCAGCAGATTCTGTCAGGCCCTGGTTTTATGTCATGAATCAACCAGACAACCAGATAAGAGATGAATTACAAATTTGATTTTGATCAAATTTGATTTAAAGCAGATAACTATATTAAAATCACACTGAAAAAAAGTACAAGAATGTCCAGGCTTTAATGACGGAAACAATGACAATACAATTACATTAAGCATTCAATGATGAGTAGAAAAATAAATCTATTAAATAAATGTTGTTGGTTGTGGTTGGTGATAAATAGGAAATATGCAAACATTTGATTATTTTGAGAGCTTGGGAGGCTGATATGCATGAATTCCGCTATTAACCATAACAACCGCTGAAATTACAATAGGTCTGTTTTTTACCCTTTATCTGGAAGATATATGTTCATTTTTTAAGTCATAAAAGTTCAAAAGTCCTGTAATAACAATGAGCAACACATCGGGGTTTTTCCAATGAGTAGTTCAATAAGTGCCATATTAAAGTTTAAAGGTTTTCGGTTAATGTTTGGCGAAAATAAATAAAAGTTTTTACTCGTGGAATCTAAAAGTGTTTATTGTCAATGCTGAAAAATGTTGATTTTCCATTGAAAACTGTGATACATTTGCTCTCTTATGCACGCAATAGAATGCATCCTTAAGAATCCAAAGAATAAACATTTTCAGTATTTAAAAAAATCAACTCAGAACAGTAGTGTTAAATAAGAAAAACACAATCTATTCTTTAAGATCTACAATTTTATGCAAATATTTGGCCATCCTTCTGTTGCTGCATAGTAATGTGCTCTTTCTTTATAATTGAAGATCAGAGTGAAATGTCATTTGATTTCCTAGAGAAAGCTAGATAATGCTATTTTTTTCAGATATTTTTGTCCAACTGTCTGTTTTTATTATGAATTAAATTGCATTGCATATGTTGATTAAATAAATGTTATGTCAGAACTCAGCTGTTGCTTTTTCCATAGGATGTAACATATATACAAATGAAATCACTGATTTGAAAGGCCAGCAGGTTATGACTTGCAATTATGAAAACAATCAGGGGTGGCCAAACTTTTGCATAAGACTGTATGACAATATTGCAATACTACAAAGTGAAGCACATCTTATTCTTTCATGCATTTCTATCTCAATAGATCTCATCCATGGAGAAGAACCTCAAGAGCATGGAGGAGGAGAATAAGCTGATAGAGGAAAAGAATGAGGCTCTGTTCATGGAACTGTCAGGCCTGAGCCAGGCTCTCATCCGCAGCCTTGCCAACATCCGTCTACCACAGATGGTTAGTCTATTTGCTGCCTATTCCATTCAATAAGCGTTACGCATGATATTTTTTCTTCCCTGTTTCTAACCAATATCAATCTATCATTTACCACAGCAAGAGCCAATCACCGAGCAGAACTTTGACGCCTACGTGGACACGCTGACCCACATGTTTACTGATAAAGAGTGCTATCAAAACCCAGAAAACCGAGCTCTGCTGGAGTCCATCAACCAGGCCGTCAAAGGTATCGAGGTGTGAGCAGCTGAAAGACACTGTGGGTTGAATAACCAGACCAACTACGTGAAAAAAAAAAAAACTAAAATACTGTTTAAGGACATTCAGGTTTTGTATGTGTCGCCCTCTGAGCTGAGGAACGCCACGAGACCCGTGGATTAAAAGAGAAGGACCAAATTCCATTTCCAAAATAATGCTGCTTAGCGATTTTGATGCGATACAAGATCCTTTGCCTCTTAAACCAAGCTGGCTCTACTTGTTCTTCTTCTTCTTCTTTCGGGATATTTTTGGAGCAAAGCATTTGTTACTGTTTTCTAAAGCAACTCTCACCGACACTGATCTGCCTTTCTTACTTCCCTCAGTGCATGGAGGTTGCTGTGAACAATAAGTCGTGAGATTGTCATGTGTGTCTGTTGGGGTGAGTCTATGTGCGTATGAGTGTTTTTGTGTGTACTGTCCGAAGTAATGAGCTCCCTCGACAAAAAAAAAAAAATATGATTAGTATGCAGCACTGCTACATTGGAAGCCCTTGTATGATAATGTTGTCTCATATTTGGTGTAAATGTGCTCCTGTTCCATTCAGTAATATTTATCGTATTTGAGAACATAGATATTGCACTTCAACGAATAGTTTGTAGTTCCATCGTCATGTCATTCCTGTAATTATTATTATTATTATTACTGTTGTTGTTATTATTATTATTATGGCTATTTAAATTGGGTCCTTGAAATGTAAGTTTAATTTATTATTTATTCATGTTAAGGTTTATTTATTAATCAGTGTCTATTTATGGACTTAATTTATTTCACAAAGCAAAACTCTATACACAGCTTTTAAGCAGTTCTTAAAGAGGAGAGACGTTGCCCTCTGCGTTGTGAAAGAGGCAATATTTTAAGAATATCGACAGCAAATTGTTTTATAAACCTTCCTATTTATTTTAAAGACAGAGATTTATAATCTCTTTTTTAAGTGCAAATATTTTCTACCTGACAATTTTTATATTGTTTTTTTAATATTCTCCTTTATTTAATGAGTTCTGTTTTCCATAAAAGTATTTTGACACCCTCCAGAGTGAAGTGGGTTGAACAGATATGATGTATTTATTGTTATTTATTTAGTATTTAAGAACAAATTGAATGGAGATCTTGTTGCATATTTATTTTGTAAATGTCTCTGTGTTAGTGGTTGCTGCATATGGATAGTCTTTGCCCATGTTGTCGATAAAATAAATGGGAATTCTATCACCTACAATGGAGTGTGTCCTATTTAACGCTTGCTTTATGTTGACTCGTTGTAACTGGGCTAGTATTTGCCCTGGATCGAACTATGATATTTTGGTTAGTTTAAATAGTTTTGAATAATTTTCCAACATGTGTCAAGCCAACCTCTTAGTAGGTTACTTGGCTGACATCTGCTGGATACATAGCGATGAAATCACGATTTATGCTCAGCCGTTTAGGTCTGCATTCAATGCAAAAACATACAGTCCAAATACAGTGCAAAAACATAAAAGTATGTATTTGTATGCAAACATCATAAAATACTGATAAATTATTGATAATATTAGAGCTAAATGTTCATTGAAAGAAAAACCTAAACAATACCATTTTAGGTATTTAGGAGTACATTCAATTATGCATTTACATTTATCTTTTACAACTGCAGCTCAATAAAACATATTCTGAAAACATTTCATTTTAAGCTCTGTATACCAATATTCATTCATTCATTTATTAATTTTTCTTCGGCTTAGTCCCTTAATTTATCATGAGTCGCCACAGCGGAATGAACCGCCAACTTATCCAGCATATGTTTTACACAGCGGATGCCCTTTCAGCTGCAACCTAGTACTGGAAAACACTCATACACTCTCATTACATTGTAGATTTAAGTAACATAAATATATCTTATGTACAACTCTGCAAATTATGGACAGCAACAAAAACAAAGCTGTAAATTGTATTATTAATCAATTATTATGATTATCATTAATAATTATTATTATATTTATTTCTTATCCGTTACACTAAGTCAAAAAGTTTTTATGCAGCAAAAATATTCAAAAGCTTATTTGTAGAAAATATATTTACTTAAAAACACATATTTTAAAATTGTTGCTATGTCTATATGTTTCCCAGTGCTGCGTTACAGCTGGAAGGGCATCTGCTGTATAAAACATATGCTGGATAAGTTAGCGGTTCATCCCACTGTGGCGACCCCAGATTAACAAAGGGACTAAGCCGAACAGAAAATGAAGGAATAAATAAAAACATATTAATTTACAATTAATTAATTAATATTTCGTGAAATAACCCACATTGTCAACCACAGCAGATGAAAACTTCTTATTCAAAACAATTTTCACCTTGTAAAAACGTATAATAATAAATAAATAAGTAAATAAATAAATATGTATGCATGTATGTATATAAATTGCTCAGCATAATTGAGTACACCCCATTTTGTAAATTAATATTTTTTTCCATTTCTCCAGGAATATAGGCAATGTATTCTGGTGCATTTAAACAAAACAGATTTATCAAACAGATATATTTATTAAAATAATATTTTAGTCACCAAACATATTTAGAAATTAAAAATATTATACAATTAAAATTCAAGCAAAATATTGCAAAAAACTAAATTTCAACAAAAATTTTCTTTTTTTCTTCTTGTTTTTATTTTTTCCCTTTTTTCAAATTTTTATTTAATATTTTTCTATAACATATATATTTGGGTGTACTAGTTTTTGGACCATTATCATAAGTTATTTTGTTAGATAAGCTCCAAGGCTTCAATACTCATTAATTTAATATTAATATATATATATATTTATATATATATATATATATATATATATATATATATATATATATATATATATATATATATATATATATATATATATATATACATACACACACACACAAATATAATATTGTATAGCTTCCTATTAAAAATATGAATTTAAAAGATATATGCAATTATAGAGGCTGAGCACTGTATGCATGTATGTGTGTGTGTGTGTGTGTGTGTGTGTGTGTGTAATTGTAAAATGTCTAATGGTATTTTATAATATTATAATGTTAATAATATCTAATAAAACTTTATAGCAGTGTTTACTTTGTGACAACTTAACCCTTAAGGTGAAGGACTTATCAACACCTAGCCTGCTCTCTTCTCCAAAATAAGGGTGAAATGCATGAGTTTATAAACTAATATTAAACAGAAAATAAAGTGCTTTACTGATAGTCATTCACCTGTGTAAAAGGCTGTCGACTCTTCCTGGCTTTGGTTTATCCAATCCTTATCAAGACCAGAGATTGTCGTTTGTTTGTTTGAGAATATATCACTAATAATGTAGTGCAGCAGGACCATGTGCTCCATGGCCCACATATTTCCTCTGTTTGTGTGCGTGACGTCACAGAGTCAGCTGGCCAATGTTTACATCCAGCGCTGCTCTGCGTGAACGTTTATGAGGAGAAACCGAGACAGAGAAATAACGGGAGATAGTTAACCGACTAGACAGCGTTCACAGACCGTAACCAGGGTGTTGTTTTGGGGGTGCCAGACAATTCGGCTCGGTCGAGTGTGAAGTCGTCGGGGTGTTTCCCGTGACGGGTTTCTCCCCAAAAACACATCCATCCCCACATTTCTTCCGTCTTTGTCTTCATTTCAGACTACTTTTCGCAGGTAAGCCTATTATATGACTGGTGTTCGCTACGTGTAGTGTCATTTTGTCGTTATATTAGAACGATCAAGTCTTTGTTAGAGCTGTGGTGTCGCGTGTAGAATGAACGCGTGATTAAATATGAAGGGTTTGATGTGTGTTGTTTTATGATTAAGTGAATTTGAGAAACTACCCGGATGTTTATCAAAAATACTGCACAATATATGCGATTGTTGACGAATGGCGCAGCTGCATTTGAGCGCGCGGTGATTGGTGGACCATCCTTCACATCTGCAGTTTCTACACAGCGTCTCTGGGGAAGCTTCAACTTTCTGCAGCGAAGCCCAGCGCCACCATCCGTCAACTGGAGAAAATTAGGTTTTAGGCCCATATGAAAATATGTACTCAGTGTTTGGACACTGTGTATGTTTATTTTGAGTGACCGTTGCGTTAGTTAACTAAATTAACCCCATTAACGCTTGATTCCCCCTGAAGGACATCAAAACAAGATGTATCTTGGGGGTCAGCCCTTTAATAGTAAGAAATAGCTTTCTTTAATATTAGCTTTCTTAATTATTCTGCATTTATTCATTAATTTTCTTTTCGGCGTCATCCCTTTATTAATCTGGGGTCGCCACAGGGGAATGAACCGCCAACTTATCCAGCATGTTTTTACGCAGCAGATGCCCCTCCAACCGCAACCCATCTCTAGGAAACATCACACACACTCATACACTACGGACAATTTAGCCTACCCAATTCACTTGTACCGTATGTCTTTGGACTGTGGGGGAAACCGGAGCACGTGGAGGAAACCTTTGCAAACACTGGGAGAACATGCAAACTCCACACAGAAATGCCAACTGACCCAGCCCAGGCTCAAACCAGCGATCTTCTTGCTGTGAGGCGACATGTACTAACTACTACGCCACTGCATCGCCTCGCATCAATCAATTGAAGGAAAAATATTATTCAACAGTCGTAGCCTAAAAAAGAAAAATTAGACACATAATTTGTATAGCTTGAACTTTAGTAACCTCTAAAGTAGTCACTAAAATGTCCCTCCATACACTGAAAATATATACAATTTATTAATATATTAGATGTAATTTATATACATTCATAAACTACCCCCACTCCCAGTGGTTTCAATATGTAGGACTTTCTGTAGTGCTTTGTTGAACATAATAGAATATACACTTGAAGAATGTTTGATACCAGTAACCAGCACTGTTGTCCTTACTGTCATCCAAAGGCACATTGCAGCCACACTCACGTTTGGTCAAAAAAGGATATCAGTTCTGTCTGTGACAAAATCTCTTGCTTTAATGTTGTCCCATTTTTGAGAAACAAATCCACTAATTTACCCACTGCAAGTTTGACTGGACTTTTTGCTCAGTTTTAGTGTTTGTGTGGTTACTGCACTTTCCAGTATGCCAGCAAGGCAGGCAAAAAATACTATGAAAATCAATGGCTGCCAATGAGCTATATGCACACAGACTTTTAATTTCAGCCAACCAGCCTCAGCGCTTCTGGTGAACTGCCTTTACATAATAAAATTGCCACGTTTATGGTCTGATTTCTTTAAAAATAAGCTCTTTACTGCCTGTTAGATATACTATACAAAGTTAGTCTCAGACTGTAAAAGAAGCACTGCATTGAATTACATTTTCTCCGCCATGTCTTTAATATATGATAGTTTGTTTTACCCCAGTATTTTCAATGGACTTTCTGCACTTGCCTGTCGATCCTTACGGCGCTAGGATTTACACCAGGGGTCACCAACCCTGTTCCTGGAGAGCTACCTTCCTGCAGAATTCAGTCCCAACCCTGATCAAACACACCTGAAGCAATTAATAGTACCTAAAGCAGCACTTGATAATTACAAACAGGTGTGTTTGGTCAGGGTTGCAACTGAAATGTGCAGGAAGGTAGCTCTCCAGAAACAGGGTTGGTGACCCCTGGTTTACACAGTCTTTCATCTCGGTTTACGCTTAAACAACTTAATAAATGCTTAAGTCTGTTTAACTGAATGTGTTCTAATTACATTACAACATCAGTGCTGTAAAAGGAACCTTACGAAATTAAAAATAGTCACAATAAGCTTTCACTAGAAGTTTATCATTGGATTAAAAACACTAGCTGTGCACGTACCCCATTTCTATCATTCTTCAAAATACCGTCTTTTGGCAACATTTCAAGATTGATAATAAAAATAACAAAAACACTAAAAGAGTCTTTAGCATCAAAAGAGCACATAAGAAGGATTTTTGGAGGATATTATGACACCAGATTAATGATTAATAAATGCAGCCTCCATGAATAAAATGCATCTTACATAAACTCCCATAAACACTTGAAAACATTCATTTTGTTTTTGGCTCAGTCTTTATTAATCTGGGGTCGCCACAGCGGAATGACTGCCAACTTATCCACCATATGTTTTACTTAGCGGATGCCCTTCAGGCCGCAACCCAACACTGCAAAACACCCATACACTCTTGCATTCACACTCATACACTACAGCCAATTTAGCTTATTCAATTCACCTATAGTGCATGTCTTTGGACTTTTGGACAACATGCAACAATTGTGTGGAACCCAAGATTTGTACAGGGTCTTTCCATCATATTAGTGCTGTCAAAGGTAATATTGAGGGATATTAAATTAAGTTATATTGAGGAATATTGCTGTTTACTCTTCTGTATCAATGTTTTACACTTAAATTTTTCTTGACAACACAGAGTAACACTAGAACTTGCAGCAAAGTGGTTATTGATTGATTCATCTTTTCTTGGATTGGCCAGACTAACAGGAGAGTTTCTTTAGTCATATGAACACTTCCTTACTTGTACTCTTTTATTTTTTTCTTCCCCCAAACAAAAAGCTAAAATGGGGGGCGCAGTCAGTGCTGGAGAGGACAATGATGAGTTGATAGACAACCTGAAAGAGGCCCAGTACATCCGCTCAAATCTGGTAGAGCATGCCTTCAGGGCCATCGATCGTGCGGACTACTATCTGGAAGAGTTTCGTGACAGCGCCTACAAGGATCTGGCCTGGAGACACGGCAACATCCACCTCTCTGCGCCCTGCATCTACTCTGAGGTGATGGAGGCTCTGGATCTGCAGCCGGGCCTGTCCTTTCTCAACCTGGGCAGCGGCACAGGCTACCTCAGCACCATGGTGGGACTTATACTGGGTGAGTCATCAGAGAATGTGAATCCTTTTGAATAACACTTTAAAATGACAGTCTATCAGGGTCTATTAGTTCATTTACAGTTAATTTCAAAATTATTAACCCTCCTATGAACTTTTTTCTTTTTCTTTTTCTTTTTTTTTAACAGAGAAAGCAAATATTTACAGTATGTCTGATATTTTTTCTTCAGGAGAAGGACTTAATTATTTTAATTCGGCTAGAATAAATGCTGTTTTTAATTTTAAAACCATTTTATGTCAACATTGTTAGCCCCCTTAAGCAATATATAAATATATTTTTTTGAATATCTACAGAACAAACCACTGTTACACAATGACTTGCCTAATTAACCTAGCTAAGCCTTTTAATGTTACTTTAAGCTGTATAGAAGTGTCTTGATAAATATCTAGTCAAATATTATTTACAGTCATCATGGCAAAGATAAAATAAATCAGTTATTAGAGATGAAAACTATTATGTTTAGAAATGTGTTGGAAAAAAATCTTCTCTTCGTTAAACAGGAATTGGGGAAAATGTACAGGGGGGCTAATAATTCTGGCTTCAACGATGTACACAGCAAAATCCTCCGAAGAAAATGTACACAGTTCAGAAAGTATTTGGTCCCTCTCTAAAATGAGCAGAAGTTACTCAGCAGCAGAGTTACAGTTAATGAGTCAATGAAGGGATATATTAAATGATAATTGAGCACTGATGACCATCACATGCTGTTAATATGCAGAAACAGAGAAGAGAAACACAAAACGACAACTGACTTCTGTCACAGCCGTAGATGAAATACACTGAAATAATCTCTCAAAATCTCAGCAGAGGATCATTAAGCAACTCCACAAACAGCAGCTTTACAGATTACCAACTTATTTGCCTTTTTTCTGCCAGACTCTACAGAATTCCATATAGTGATATTATTAACAACTAACTAATTGCTAGAGCAATAAATACAACACTTTTTGTGTTTTAAGATGTCACCATTGAGGATAACATTATGCTTCTCAACTATAGTGAGTTTTTTTTCTGCAGTGCAAGCTGGGAACTATAGGATGAATGTTGTATGATTCTCTTAGCAAAAAAAAAAAAAAAAAAAACACTCTGTTGGGATGCACATGCTGATTACTGATGTCTGTGTCTCTAAAGTGATTCAGATGCTCAGTGTGCTCAGTTAAAAGGTTTATAAAACCACAGCTGAGGTCCATTCTCTTGAAAAACACAGAAATTTCTCTCTTATATGATAAACCATATTTTAAACATAATTAGCAAAATTAAACATAATGCGAAGTTCAACTTATCAACAGTAATACAGGACCAGTTAATCTGATCATATCAACTCTATACCTATCATAGCAAGTAAACAAACATTAGAAATCGAGTCAAACTGCCCAAGTAACTCAACCACTTTTTTCCACGATGGTGACATCGAGGGAAAAAATATATATATAAAAAAAATAAAAAATTATATATATATATATATATATATATATATATATATATATATATATATATATATATATATATATACACACACACACACACACACACACACACACACACACATATATATATATATATATATATATACATACATACATACATATGTATATATACTTTTTGACTTTTTTTGTTGTAAAATTTAAATAACTAAAACAGTTCTCAATAAATCTCATATGGACTTTTGTGGACATCTGTAATAAGTGAAGCTGCTGTTTGAAGTCAGTTGAAGTTTTGTGTTTCTATTCTGTATATCTGCTCATTAATAGCAGGTGATGGTCATCAGTGCTCAATTATCACTTAATTAATCCCTTCATTCACTCATTAACACTAAATCTGCTGTTGAGTAACTTTTACTCAGTTTTGAGAGGGACCAAATACTTTCTGAACTGTGTATTATAAAGGTAATATAAACTGAATTTTACTGTAGGACAGTTATGCAGTTGTTACTGTATTTTAAAGTTGCATTGTGAAAATAACGGTATATTTTACAGTAAAGTTATGTAATACTGTAAATGCATATATTGCAAGATAAATGGTCCAATAAATGTAAAAACAGTATTGCTGTCATTGATTTACAGTAAGTTACTGACAAACTGCTCACAAGTAAGTAATTTATGTCATGCGATCACTCATATTTTTCAGGGCCATTTGGTGTGAATCATGGTGTTGAATTGCATGAAGATGTTATAGAGTATGCGTATCAGAAGCTGGACTTCTTCATCAAGACCAATGATAGTTTTGACAGGTGTTATAACATTTAACTGTTGTGCTTCAATTTTCTAATTAAATGGAGCACTGAAAAAGTGAAATGTGACACTACGTACCTTTCTGGCTTAGGTTTGATTTCTGCGAGCCCTCCTTCGTGGTGGGCAACTGTCTGGAGATTGCGCCAGAAAGCAGACAGTATGACAGGGTTTACTGTGGCGCAGGAGTCCAGAGGGAACACGAAGACTACATGAAGAAGCTGCTTAAGATTGGAGGAATCCTAGTACTGCCACTGGAAGAAAAGGTAAAGAAAATGAACACACAAAAAAAGAATGATACAGTGCATCCAGTTATAGGTAATGCAGGATTTGCTTATGTCTGTGCGTTTCTTATTTGTTCAAGCTTACTAAAATTACTCGGACAGGATATAACACATGGGAAACGAGAAAGATAATCGCTGTATCCTTCGCACCACTTGTGCTCCCAAAACACAGGGAAAATGGCAAACCCAGAGCAGTCTCTCTACGTGAGTAAAACATAAATCATGAATATTCGATATTCAATTTGGTTGGATTTTTTTTGTATCTTAGTATAATTTTTCTTAAAATAAATCAATTAAATAAGCATTATCCATGGAAAATATTGTAAAGATAAATTTTGATATGAATCCGGCTTTGTATTTATTGAATCTTAATGCGAACAGTCTGTTTAAAAAATGCATTAGTTATTTACTGTCTTTGTATATTTAGATTAAAAAAACAAGTATTTTCCAACTTTTGGCATCACAGGCTCCATCTTTCAAAATGTGGATATCACAAATTGCTACATGGCTATCATTAGAAAAACTCACATATGACAAAAAAAAAAAAACTAACAGATTTTGGTCAATTTGGTCTCCCCTTTGGGAATACAAAAAAGAGCTCTGTTTAATTAACACAGGATCCTTGTTATTTATTTACAGTTTTTGTTTAATCTCCACTTAAACACGGTTCTAAAATGGCCTGATTGTACTTTTATCTATTTATTTGTCATTTTTTATATTCATTTATTTGTTATTTTCCATTTTTAAGACTATGCACACTAATATTTAGTGAATGTGGGCATACAATACATGAAATAAAAATTAAGCAATGTCGTATTTTAATCATTTGTTATTGCCCTAAATGGCCTGATTGTATTTTTAGCTATTTATTTGTCATTTTTTATATTAATTTATTTGTTAGTATCCATTTTTAAAACTATGCACACTAATATTTAGTAAATGTGGGCATACATGAAATTAAAAATAAGCAATGTTTTATTTTAATCATTTGGTTTTGTTACAGTCAATATTTATAATATAGGCAGTGTGTTCAGGGTTTGTTGAGGAGAGTTATATATAAATGTATAAATGCCATTCAAGCTTGGCATAAAATTAGCAATACCACTTTTGTTTGACAGTTTTATTGGCATAATACAAAAAGTGCAAAATGAATTAAAAGGAAGTATTAAGTGTAATAAATTGATCAAAACCAAAAACTTTTAGTAGCAAAATAAAATGCTGTTGATATGTCTCTATTGATAACTTTGTTTCCACAAAATGGCTCTGCCATGATAAAATTACAATTTTAAATACATTAAGATTTAAATTAGACATATTTTTTGATATTTTTTAACTATAATGATATATCATATTTCAATCCTACTGTATTTTTGATCAAATAAATGTATTTTGCTCAAGAGATGTATTGTAATAAAGAAACTAAATACATTTTACCAATAAATCTTACTCCCTCCAAACATATATATATATATATATATATATATATATATATATATATATATATATATATATATATATATATATATATATATATAGAGAGAGAGAGAGAGAGAGAGAGAGTATATACAGTATATATATATAGACATATATACAGTTAGTCATAATTATTAGCCCCCTTGTAAATTTTCCCCCAATTTTAATGGAAAGTGGATTTTAACCCATTTATAAACATAATAGTTTTAATAACTCATTTCTAATAACTGTTTCCATTTATCGTTGTCATGATGACAGTTAATGTTTTTTTAAGATACTAGTATTCACTGCAATTTAAAGGCTTAACTAGGCAAGTTAGGATAATTAGGCAAGTCATTGTATAATGGTGGTTTGTTCTGTAGACTATCGAAGAAGAACTATTTGCTTGAAAGGGCTAATTATTTTGTCCTTAAAATGGTATTTAAAAAATTAAAAACTGCTTTTATTGTAGCCAAAATAAGACTTTCTCCAGAAGAAAAAATATTATTATAGAAAATACTGTGAGAAACTTCTTGCTCTGTTAATCATTGTTTGTGATCTATTCAAAAAAAAAATAATTCATAGCATGGCTGATAATTGTGACGTCAACTGTATATATTTTTTGTTCAGCTGCCATGTTCGAGGTGCGGAGTCTTCAAGATTTGTCCCGCATCAACATCCGTCACATTCTAAAGAAATACGGATCCGGATCCTTGCCACAACCTCGGAGAACTGGTCTAAAGCGAAGAAGTCATCGCTCTCAGAAACGCGAGCACCGCGACACCCCTCTCCTGACCAACAGTTATCTGTTCATGAGCCGCTTGATTCCAGGACCAATGGACAACAACAACAACCAGTCCTCCACAGACAATGAGGATGAAGATGAAGACCTCCGGAGGGTCTGTGAACTAGAGGAGAAAGAAGAAAACGAGAGGAGGAAAGAGGGCAGCGTTTTGGTGATGGACACCCCAGTAAACCTCCTAAGGGAGAGGATCCTCGGTCTGCCTTTGCCAGAGCCTCTTAAGATGTATCTCCTCTACTACAGAGAGAAGTAAACCTCCTTTTCCAAATCGATAGCCTACTCACAGCCAACACTGTCATGGTTCTTTAGTCAACCACTTTCACTTTATCATGGTCACTTTTTCTTATTGCGCTACTTTTTTGTAATGCCAAGTTGAGATGCATCGTTTCATTGATCTGATGTGAAAACATGGTTCCACCAAGTCACAGTCTAGAATGCTAATCCATTACCCATGGGATCAACAGACTGATTGAAAACTCAATCTTAGTTGTGTATTATTTGTGGTGGGATAAAAAAAAAAAAAGAATTGGCTGATAATTTGCTAAATTATAAATGCAATGTATTCTCACTTGTTTTGTGTGTTATTATATACAGTCTAGTTTCAGTTATTGGATTTACTAAGAGAAAATCTGAATATTCTTGTCTAATCGTGTGCTGGATTACTCTTATATTGTGTGAAAATACAAAGACACGTTTAAAGATGTCAGTTGTCTATCCAAATTTGTGTCGTGAAATTTCAGGATGAAAGACTTTAATAGGTTAACAGATGTTTTGCCAATGAAAAAACAAAACAAAACAGAGAACTCTTTTGCTTGTGCCGTTGTTTTCAGGGCTTTAAGATTTGCTCTTAAATAGCCTAGCAGTGGTCACCAAACTTGTTCCTGGAGGTCCGGTGTCCTGCAGATTTTAGCTCTAACCCTAATCAAACCCACAAGCTAATCAAGATCTTGCTGGGTATACTTGAAACATCCAGGCAGGTGTGTTGAGGCAAGTTGGAGCTAAACCCTGCAGGGACACCGGCCCTCCAGGACTGAGATTGGTGAATTTGGCCTATAGGGATTCTGAATTCAGGCTCTGGTGTGCACTTTGTAATGTTGAACGCAATAATAAATTAACTGATACCTTTTATTTTTTTTTAACATGTTCCAATATTATGACCAAAATTTCACCTTCAGAATCCGTTTGTATTTTTAAATCTCTGGGAAAATGTTAAGTAGAGCTGCTTATTAACTGTAAAGTATCACTATTGAAAGTGTACATGTGGCAGCTGCTTCAGTTTAATCAGGTGCCAAAGGGTTAACCCTTATGTGCTGTTGGGGGTGTTTTAATCCACTCTGGGGTGATTTTGAGGCTTAATTTGGTCACAACTTTTTTCTGTGTTTCAGCTTGCAGAATAAGTTTTGGTGACAAATCTTATTTTGACACATATTTTGGGAAAATGCTTTGAAATAAAAACTCAATACACTCTGAGAAAATTTACTACTCTTTTGTTATGTTATAGACCCGTTTCCACTGAGGGGTACAGTATGATTTCCACTGCCTAAAGGGTTGCAAGGGTAAATACTTGTGTATGAAAGTTCATTACTAACATAATTTGATTATAACTGCAGATCAATGACAGGGCGAAACAGGCTACCCTGACGTCTGCTATTACATAATAAACAAATAAATGCAACATATTAACACATACAGACCCTTACAGTTTCCAATATGTTACCAATTACAGAAAAACTACACACACCATACATTTAGTCCTTATTTGGGTTCAAAAACAACCCACAACATATAACCTATTGTCAGTGCAAACCTCTCATCTGCATCTTTTATCTTCTCCAGCACATCTAACCTCGTTAGAAAGTCATTCCGAGTTCATAATGGACCAAAATGTGATGATAATAGTTAAACAGGTCAATTTGTTTTTTTTTAAGTGGCTGAAAAAAAACATTCGTTCTTTTGTTTTTCAGGCTTCTCTATTTTTCGTGCTTCACTCTTAGCTTTTCAGCCATTTCCACTGTCAAAAGGTACCACAAAGCGAACCATACCTAGCAAAACCAAAGGGTACAAAAAGGCAAAGCTAGATGCACAGCTAAACGCTATCGGTTTAAAGAGATACATCACTCGCACATACACAAGCAGGAGAGGGGAAAACAAATGAAAATAAATACACAGCCGAAACATTACATCGTAATACTATATGCATATATAAACAAGCCATGGTTGACCCAAGCTCAAACAAACCTCGTCATTGTTTCGATGAACATCCACAAAGAAAACAACAAAATCTGCTGTGTTCTGTTTTTGTTTTACGAGTCTGTCTAAAAGTGCGACCGGTTTCACTTTCTCCAGAGAGCGAGTGAGCAAACATACGCGCATCTATATTTGAAATAACAAACTTCTTGAGCTGATGATAATAACGTGCACGTGATTATTGAAGTGCTTCTGACATTTTGAGAATCCCTAAAAAACAAAGGAGCAAATGATTCTTTTAGCAACCAAAAACATAAACAACCTGCCATGTTTAACTATTATCCTCACATTTTAGACTATTATGCACTCAGAATGACGGTCTAACAAGAGGTTACATGTGCTGCTGAAGATACAGATGAGAGGTTAGCACTGACTGTGGGCTATATGCTGCACGTTTGTGAACCCAAATAAGGACTAAATGTATGCTGTGTGTAGTTTGTCTGTAATCGGTATCATATCTGTAAGGGTCTGTATGTGTTTATATACGTTGCATTTATAACTGTAATATTTTATTGCAGTGGTTGCAGTAGGCTATTTTTATCATTGATATACAGTTATAAAAAAAATCATGTTTATAGAAAGGTTAGTAATAAACATTTAAACAAGTATTTATGTGTATAAAGCATCTGTTTTGTGAGAAGTGCTTATCATATTTGAACAGCCCATACCATTGGTACCCTTTAGCAGTGGATAAAGATGACCCGTACCATACTGTACCACTCAGTGGAAATGGGCCATAACAAAAGGTAGTATTAAAATTGAACAGTGCACAAGGGTTAAGGGTCTAAATTGACAATGTATGAATCAGTTTTCAAACTTTTTTTGAAAACACAAAATTCCAGAGGATTATGTATGTACACTGATACGCAAACCATAGTCTCTGCAATCGTTTAAAGTAAAATTAAAGAAAGTCTAAATGCTGAGAAGCATTGGGCTTACATGTGAGACAGAGATTGATTAAATGCAGATTATATATATATAACTTTCTAGAAGTGTGGACCATACTTTATGCATAATACCTATGGCTATATATTTCCTAAATACATTAAAAGAAAAACCTGCACATGGAGTGGAAACAAATATAGGAACACTTCTATTTATGCCCCCAGACCTAGGCCCATTTTACCCTTACTTAAAGAAGTTCAAATCAAGAATATACGCTCACTTTCAGCTTTATTAGATTTAAATACTGTGCTTAACCGCCAAGTACAGACTGGACTTCACTTTGGATAAGAAAATAAAATGGAAACAAAAAGAAGAGTGAAAGCACTTACAAAATAACAAAAATGTATTTTCTGTTTAATGATTAAAAAAATATTTCTTTGCAAGACATTACACACAAAATACTCCTAAAGCCCTCTTTACAGAGGTGCAGCAAGAGAAGAAAAACAAACAGGAACGCCACCATTATCACACTGAACTGATGACTGGTGTCAAGTAGATGAGGTAAATGTTTTGTTGGGGGAAAGAAAAGGCACAATTTTCAATCAACTGTGCCATGTAAATTCACATAATAATACCAATAATAATAACAACAATATCATTATTATTGTAATCATAATAATATTAATAATAATAATAATAATAACACCATCATAACAGAAATAGAAAAAATATGCAACAAAAATACAGACTGATTTTTTATCTTACAAGTAATCTTCCAGCCCTACTGTATTGCCTGACCCATCAGCAACAAAAAGAAAAATCAGTCCAGTTTTAACACTGCAGTGTACTGTCACTGTCTTGCTCAAGAAGAGTCCAAGACTTCAGGTAGTGTCCCACCACTGGCAAAGGGCTAGAATTGTCTGGAGAGGTCAAAGTATTTGCTCTGATTAGTCGGCTCAGTTTTAAAGGAGCTGCAACAAACTATCTGACAACCAGACATGACACACACAGTTTCGAAGGGCCGATGCAATCATCATGGCAGAAAGCGCCACAGCCCTGGCACATGATCATAGCCTTGAGTCGGCAGGAACACTTGAGAGCCACTTCTTCGGCAGCACTGTCTGTAAATGCCTGGATGCCAAGCGTGGCACTCTGACCTCCACCGCTGCCGACGCTCACACGTGGCCTTAGTTGGAGCACACTATCGGCTAAGGTGCGAGTGAAGCCACTACCATCCACCACAGACACATTAGCTGTGTAACTGAAGCTGGATGAGGACCCTCCGTTGCCCCCACTCTGCTGAAGTTTTGGTAGCTTACCATATAGCTGGAAAGGGAGACTGGAGGCTGATGAGGAAGGAGAGGAAGAAACAGGAGAAGCGGAGGTGTCTGCTTGGCGGGTATATGGATTTTTGACTTGTTCCTTCTTGGCCATTCTGACAAGAGACATTTCCATATTTAGCAGTCCTTCCATAGCTCCACCACCTCCATGAAAACCATCCAGAGGCTCCTTTTTGGTTATTACAACAGACGTATTGCCACTGATAGGAGCAGGTGAGTTTTTGGTCAGAGCTTGTTGGCACGAAGGGCGCAAGGAGACTTCGTTTTTTACTGTAGCTACAGGGGAGATCGGTTGCTGAGGTTTGTTTGGGCGCCAGTTAATCTTAACAGTTGGTACAACCTCTGATGGACAAAGGTCTCCATGTGGAGGTGAAGGAGCATCTGGTGTGTTTCTGCACACGGACTGGGAGACATTATTAGGATGCTGCTGAAAGCTACTTGGCCTCTCAGGAGTTTCACTCCGTTGAGAAAGAGGTCCAGGGTGCTCTTTAATAACAGCTGATTCATAAACTGGAGCATTCTGAGAGTTCATATCCATTGAGGTTCTAGTGGTGGAGTTTAAGGGAAGGGATGTTATGACAGGTACTGCTCCTGGAGGCACAACGCCTCCTGGTTGCTGAGAACTGAACTGAGAGTTTGCAGACCTGGGGCTGGCTTCCTCAAACAGGCATGCCATTCTTGATGGAGCAGAACCTGGCGGGGAAGAACCAAAGTTCCGACCAGGTCCAGGAGATACTCGAGCAGGTGGGGTTTTGTGTTGGAAGTCAGAACTAACAGTGTCCGTAGGCCCTCCCGACTCAGGTGGGC